GAGACAGTGTTGCTTGGGCTGGACTCTACTGCTCCACCAGGACAAGGAGCAGAACACATTTCCTTTACAATCCCCCACATTGTGCTGAGGGAGCCTGCACAGCACGCTGAGATGTGTGCACAGGGGCAAGTACACTTGCAGTGTCAGCATTAGAATGTCTGTTTAAAGGTTCATGGATAAGTTTTTCTAACAGGAAAATAAACTCAAGAGAATTTTCCCAGATCATGTGGCCAGGTGTTTGCAGCTAGTATCAAAGACATTGAAATGAATAAAAAATGACCTCTCAACTGTGAGCTCACCTCCAAGATATCATAGAGTACTTCATCAAAAACATTAATAAACACTTCGTCCTTCACTGATTGCAAACTGGTAGTGCTGTAGTCACCATTGGGAGCTCTACCAAGAAAAAAAGCAATTTATAGAGAATGCAGAAAAATACTAAATTTACACAGAGGTGCCGAGTCTGTGGGGGGCCCAAGGGCCCTGGCTCCCCTCAGGAAGAGAGCTGTTACCTGAAATGCATAAAACTCTCCACATGTCCATCATCTATCCCCCTCCTCCCACCCAGAAAAAAATAAAAGTGAGCACCTATGACTTTACCCACATTGTTCAAAAGAACCAATTAATCCTAGCCAGCATTTACAATACTGTGAAGGGCAGAAGTAATACCTTGCTTGATCTTACTCATACCTAAATGGAAGTTCCAGCTCCTCATTCCAGTTGGGGTTTGGTCCCTCTGCTGTTGTGGTCCGGCAGACTGTTCGCTGAAAAGAAACTTCTACAAAAGGACGGACTAACACCTTCAAAATAGAATTAACATAAAAAAACAGAACTCCATAAAAAGCTTAAAAGAATATTTGAAAATTGTCTCCCAGAGCATTCACCAAGTTAAAAACAAATAATATATGAAGGCTATGATAGTTTGGTTGCAACAGGTAAACTTGGGTGTTTATGTAAGTGCTCTGGGGAGGTGGGAGGGGTTCACAATGGGGAATGAAGGGCTTGCACTGGGGCAGCAGGGAGAACTCCGCCCCCACTGCAAGCCCTGCACCTCAGCAGGGTCACAACAGCGGCAGCCTTCTTTCCACTGCTGTCACTGTGAGCCCCACACCACACCAGGCTCACAGGGGGGCGGTATTCTCCCTGCTACAAGCCCCACAGCTAACAATGCTGCTGCCACTGCGAGCCTTGTCAGCTACAGGGCTAGTAGTAGGTGGTGCATCCTTATGGCTGAGAGCCCCTTGGTGGTGTGGTTCCCAGCCACAGGGAAGCACTTAGCCATATGTTCAATCAATGTTATGATTAGAACAAGTTGCACAGTTATCACACATTTTTTGTGGAATCACTTCATAGTTTATTCCTTGTTTTATCATATCATTAATTAGCTGAACATGTAGTTGGGTCACAACTTAAGGCATGATTGCCTGGTTAATCATGCCTTAAATGTAACATGTAGAGGAGGTGCAACAGGGGGCCATCTTGAGGCCGGGCATGACATTGGCCTGCCTACCTGTCTAGGGCAGTTTTCCCACCTGACTCGCCTGCGATGCTTTGCTGGAACTTAATAATTGTTCATAAGCAGGAGGCTGCCTGCTACAGTCTGGTGGCATGTGACCATCTAATTGGGCCAGGTCACACCTGCTCCACAGCCTGCTCAAGCCCCTTAAAGTGGTGGGCACCAAAGATGCCCTGCCACAGGGGGCCATAGACATACCTACACCTAGATCATTCCTGACTAGTCGCTGTCCAATCTCTTGTTGAACACCTCCAGTGATGAGTCCACAACTTCCCTAGGCAGTCAATTTTACTGCCTCGCTATTCTCACAATGAAGACATTTTTCCAGATATCTTGCTGCAACTTCAAGCCATTCATTTGTGTCCTCCTGTCTGCAGCAAGAGAGAAAAGTTTCTTTTCCTCTTCTTTATGGCAGCCCTTCAAGTATTTGAAGACTGCTATCATGTCCCCTCTTAAATACCTTTTCTGCAAGCTAAACAAGCCTAGCTCCTTCAGCCTTTCCTCATATGACATGTTTTCCAAGCCCTTGACCATCTTTGTTGCCCGCCTCTGGATCTTCTCTAACTTTTTCTCTAACTCTAGACCTTCTCCTCATGCTTTTTAAAATACGGAGTGCACAACTGCACAAGGTATTCCAGATGACGCCTAACCAGTGCTGAGCAGAGAGGCACTATTACCTCCTGTGTCTTGCACCTAATGCTTGTGTTGATGCATTCAAAAACTGCATTTGCCTTGTGTGTGGCTGCATCGTGCTACATACTCATATTCAGTCTGTGATCTACCAAGCATCCCAAATTCTCTTCCCTGGTGCTGCCATCCAGCAAGGTGTCACTCATTTTATATTTGTATTTTTGATTACTCTCCGAGGTGCAGCACCTTGCATTTGTCCACATTGAACTTCATTCTGTTAGCTCTAACCCAACTTTCCAATCTGTCAAGATCCTTCTAAATTACACTTGCATCCTTCAACGTGTTCTCAACTCCTCCAAGTTTTGTACTGTCTGTAAACTTGGTCAAGAGGCTTTCTATGCCAGTACCCAAAATGTTAATAAACATGTTGAACAGCACAGGGCTGAGGACACGTCACTCAAAACCTCCTGCCATTCTGACATAGACCCATTAATAACTGCCCTTTGCTTGCAGCTATTGAGCCAGTTATCTATCCACTTTATAGAAGTTTTATCTAGTTCACATTTTTCCAGTTTGTTTATAAGAAAGTCATGCAGGACCTTGTCAAAAGCCTTGCTGAAGTCCAGATATACTATATCCACAGCATCTGGCCTTTTTAATGGTTTTGCTGTTCCACTAATCAAGCTAACCTCACTTAGGGCAATTTTGCTGCTTGTTAGCTTCTACTGGTTTCTCCTCCTGTTTCACAGATCTAGAGACTCTTTAGCTGTTTTCAGAATCATAAATCCAGCAGTGCATATCAGTCTTTGTCAGCAACTAGGGTATAGCTTTAGTTAAGCAGGAAAGGGAGGGTGAATCAGCTGAAGATTAGGCTCCATTCCCGCTCTATGCAACTATAAATCTGGAAAAATATTTTTCTTCATTCTGCCTTTCAAAAGCAAGAGCCATATTATATTCTGGGGTGTGCTGTATGCAAGAAAATATGGTAGTCCCAATGCCAGCCCTGCTGGTAATATTTTATCCATAAAGTTACTGCTTAGCAGATCACCACCTCTATAACTAAATGACTGCGCAAAACTGTCAGTGTTATACCTGGTTAAATGCCCAATCTATACTATGGGTTGGGCTCTGAGGTGATGGAGAGGCTGCAAACATCTCATTAAAGGATCTTGAAGATCTGGATGGCTGTTGAAGTTTGCTGTGAAAGAAAATAAGTGACAAATAGGCAAAGAGCTCAATGTAGAACAGAATACAAGACCATAGCTTTTTTAAAGGCTACTTCTGTTGAACTACTGAGAACAAAATGGATACTATGATTTTAATTAATTTCAACTTTCGATTAAGTGGATAACTAGTTTGGAAATAATTATTCCTCTCTCTTCCTTTCCATTAAAAATCTTCTCAGATATTTAGATCAAGGGTGATCAACCTCCTGCCTGCAGGCCATTTCTGGCCTGTGACACTACATCATCCAGCCTGTGGAGCTATCCACAGATGTGGAAGTTCGGTGGTTGGGGAGTGGTGGCAGTACTCCTCTGCTGGCAAATCTGTGGGCTTATGGGGAGCCCTGAGCCCTGTGAGCTGGACCTGGTGCTCGATTCTAGTATGCATGGGCAGGCAGAAGCAGCGCACCAGGGTCCAATCCCAGCATGCAAAAGGGGGAAGGGGTGACACAGGATGGTGTTGGCTCCCTGAGACCCAATCCCAGCATGCAGGGTGTGGGAGAAGGTGCTGCCAGCCCCATGGGAGTCAATCATGGTGTACGGGGAGCAGGAGAGGACAGTGCCAGGCACCCAAGATCCCATCCCAGCACATGGGGCATGGAGTGGGTGGTGCTGAACCCCAGGGCCGATCTGGCCTACAGACAGGCCCCATACCAGTCATCTGGCCCAGTGGGGCCAAAAGACTGAGCACTACTGATTTAGATTATCATTGGGAAGTTTCTTATATGCCCTGCTGATTTCTCAAAGTCAATATTTTATGAAAATTCAATCACAGTAAGCAGATAAAATACCAAGAGGGGTATAATTCTGCATGGGCAGTAATGGACCTATTGAGTCTGGGAGTGAACCAGGGTCTATTAATCCTAGTGGGACACCTTGTTAATATGGCTACACTGGTTGCACTGCCCAAGATAACTCATTCAGAGGTATCCTAGGTATCTCTGCATAGCACCACAGCTCCACAGATGCACCCAAAGTGCAGCACTGACCTTCAAATTTAACATAATGAAGCTACATTAGGTACAAGCCACTGCTTAAATATGTCACTGTTAACATATTTAAATACATGATGGAAGGAGAGTAAGAGAAATCCGGAAATATGAAATCACTGATAGAAAAGAGCATTTGGACTTCTTTTAAACTTAACTCTAGTCTATATAATCTTATTTAAGGACAAGGGGATACAATTAAAAAGTCCTGTTTAGGTACAGAATGTCTGGCTGTTAGTGTTTGTAAAATGACAAGTTATTTTCCAGTTATTTTTTTTCTCAAATAGACTAGAATGAATTGTAAAATAGGTAACATGAACAGTTATAATATCTGTATTATAGAACCTAAAAGCTATTATAATATCTGTATTATAAAACCTAAAATCTTAAAGAACCTGAAAAGCTGTAATATCCATATTATTAAACAACATCAACCAACTTGTAAAAATATCCAGTTGTTATTACAAGCATCAAAAACAATATAATTTAAAAACAAAATTATAGTCACTAAAAATGTTGCCCAAAAAATTAGATTGGCACATGCATGTACACTCAAAAAAAGGTATTTTAAACATATGGTCTTTATATGCAAGTTTGGCAGATGATTAAAAGCAACAACAAAAAGTGAGAAAAAAATTCCAACAAGAGACCATTTAGCAGGCTCATACCTCAGAACTGGTTTTCTCACGGGAATGTCATAAGCTCTAATGACATTCACCAGGAGTTTTACGTCTCCATCTGATAGATTCTGTGCTGTAACTTTCTTCCTCTCTCTTCTTCTAGGCTTTAGAGGTCGCTTTGGCTCCGCCAATTTAAAGAGACTGAGCCCTAAAATACTAATAATGATAAAATATAAAGTTAAGTTTTCTTCATAGGACCCAGGGTTCTAAGGCCGCCTTGATACACAGACAAAAATATGCATTCAGAAAAAGGGAAATAAACAATCTTTTCAATTTCATACATAACTGCTTAAGCTGCCAAATATGTCTAATTGTTTAATAGTACATGAATGGCAATTTTTAAAACAAATTATGTATCAAACTTATGTAAGATATACAACAATATGAGTGTGGAAGAAAATGAATTAAACCACAGTGAAATGGATTTAAGCTACTGTAAAATATATAGTCACGGTACATATTAGATTATATTTAGCAGTATATTTAATACACAAAAACCTAACTTGAGAACTACAACAAACAGTAGACTATAAAAGTGGAAGGAGAAATGAATATGGCATGACATACCCTGGGTCATCAGAACTTATAACAAGGCAAAGCAGAACAAAAAAGAAAAAAAGAAAAAGAATAAAACAGATGCACAAAAATAATCAGAAGTGATACTAAGTATAAAAATATTTTAATGACAGTGAGCCCTTCAGAATCAATCCTAAAAAGGTAACTGATATCAGAGATCAACTTTTAATTATGTGCATCTAACACAATGCAATTTTGTTGTTAAACATCAGTATAAAACTATGATTCTTTTTTAATATGAAAATTCATAAATACACATAAAACATTATCTATCATGCAGAGTTTTGCGTATGTCTTAAATCTGCAACAAATATAAACCAATTTACAAAAATTAGTCAAACATTTTGTTTTAAACAAACTGGTAAACTGATTAAAATTATACTATTTCCCATTCTGCATCATGAAAATATTTGAAAAGGAGAACTGACCATTGAAAAGGGAGAAAGTCTCTGTATCTCCAGCAGATGGGACCATTTAGGTTTATACAGTTCAATCAAAAGTTATAATTATAGTGTATGGTTATAACATTGTAGTAAGCATAAATAGGTGTCAAATAACAAAGAAATACACTTGTCATTCATTACTTATTTGTTTAAAAAGATCTAAAGCAAACAAATGCTAGTTTATCATTCATACGTTGAAGAGTCATGCTGAGATTTGAAATGCAAGAATGTAATGACTTGCACAGTAAGTCAGTGTGGCAAAATAACAAGTAAGTAAATAAAATTATGACAAGAAAAGAGCGATTTTTAAAGATCAAAGCATTCTACTTGAAATAAATACTGCACGAGAGGTGCTAAGCAGAAAAGAAAGAAAATACACAGAAGGGTCCAAAACAAAATACGTGCATACTATCTACACAGCACCTTCTGTGTCTTTTCTCCAATCTACACAGCATATCTTTCTCTGCTACTTTTTCCCCTTCTATCCACTCTTTTCTCAGGACACCTTGGGATTGTGCAATTTGAATGATTTGAAGTCCAAACAACAATTTTGTGGTTATCTGTTTCAAACATCTTTCTGAGATCAAGACCATGACAGCGATGATTATAACTTACATTTATAGCTCACCTTTCATCCAGAAATAATTCTATCTATGTTATACACACACACAGATATATAGGTATGTATTCTTTTTTCAAGTGTCCCATGGCATGCTAGATGCCTTGAAATCTTGCAAAATAAATGAGACAGGGTCCTTGACTTCAAAAGGCAAGCCAACTAACTTAAATAAAACACCGCATCTGAAGCTCATAAAGTAGATAAAAAAAGACGGTGACATGCAGAGAATAGGACGCCATTCAGATGATGTGGCAAGTTAAGCACCTTCACATTTGTGCATTTTGCCTTTTTCCACACACACACATAAATCTACTATGTTGTCTTCTAAGGAAAACATGTATTTACTTTACTGAGTAATTAGACGCTGTAGCGATGGCACTAAAAAGTATGCAACAGACACAGATGTCTTACTTGAAATAACAAACTTCTGCCAGAACAGTGTCCCTTAACAGCAGGCTGAGGCACCTCCCAATGACTAATCCAGAAGAAAGAGTGCCACATTGGACTACCAAAGCCACAACATGCGATACTTAGGCCTTATTTGGAGATCAGCCATTCAGGCTTCTATAGAACGGGATACTGCCTGGCTTATGACAGGAGTGCTCAGCCCTCAAGGCACAGTACAGATGCAGCCCCCTGTCATCTACTCTGCAGGGCTCCCCATGGATCCAAAAATGTGGTGACAGGGTTGCTGCTCCCCTGCTGCCATATTTCCAGACCTGAGGGAGCCCTGAGGGCCACGCAGCACTAAACTGGGTATGCAGGGTGGCACAGGGCTTGATCCTGGTATGCAGGGCCAGGCCCAATCCCAGTACGTGGGGCCAAATCTCAGCACACAGGTCCAGGCAGGGGTGAAGCCTGATCCCAGTGCATAGGGCCAGGTAATTTTCTACCAGGAAGTGGTGCCAGCATCTGATCCTAATGTGAAAGGCCAGGTAGAGGCAGCGTGGGGCCCAATCCTGGTGTGCCGTAGGGCCTGATTCCAGCATGCAGGAGAGGCACAGGGCATCAGGGCCCAACACCAGCATTTAGAGCTGGCATTGGGACCAATCCAGACATACAGGAGCCAGCCGAGGCCACATGGGGCCCAATTGTGTCTTGTAGGACCTGATCCAGTCCATGGACCAGACCCATGCCACTCATCTGGCGCACAGGGCCAAAACGTTGAGCACCACTGGCTTATAAAAATCAAAGTATAAGGCAGTCTAACAGCATATAAATAAATGCCATTATAAATAAATACTTCTGCTGAAAACAGCACATTTCTTCAAAGCATATGATACACAGTTCTGTTACTGTTGCTAAACATTTGTCTATGTTTGCAAAGGTATGCATGGTGCCTACAGAAATATACCATCTATTTAAATAAATAAATAATATTTAAATAAATAGGAAGTTTGTCACATCAACTATTTTTTTCAGAAAAGAAAAAAAAAGAAGTTAGAAACATGGAGATTTTTAGATGAATGATTTGCATTTATATATGATGAATGCTCTTCTCTTACCCCAGGCTAGGAGCTTCCTCTTCATTTACCAGGTCAGAAAGTAATAAATGGTGTTTTGCTACCAGAAACCGGTTTATCACTGATTCTCTAACCTGGAAGCAAAAGCAATTGCACACCTGATTCAGAATGACTGGAAATACATATAGTCCATTTTTTTTTTTAAAAAAGGAAACCTTTTTCTTAACCCACTTTATAAAAAGGAGGGACACAATTGATTCTGGCTTCCCTTTCCATAGTCATTTTGCCAGCAAAAAATGCTAGCCCATTTCAGAAGTAATCAGACTCCTCCAGAAGCAGACTTCTAGCTGTTTTGGATGAATAACTAGTTAGGTGAGATGGAAGAATGTACAAGAATGCATGATCAGAAATTCTTCAGGTTTTCCAGAGTCCAGTGGGACACAGATCACCACCAGAAATTTAACAAACAGCAGGAACTAAGGGTTGAACTTGAAGTAAGGGATGAAGCTGATTAACAGAACAGTTAATGGGGGGAGAGGGGAGGCTTGCAGTGTGGGAAGACTGCATTGCTGTTATCTGTGCAATTGATACTGCATGACAAGTAGAGCCTTTTGGAGTAAGTCAGTCGATAAGACACCTTTTATAAGTAAGATGTTTGCAAGGAAATACAATTTAAAAATATTTAATGATTTCAATTCCCAGTATAACAAATAATCCCTTTGTGACAGGCTGAAGCGCATAAGTGAAATTTCTTTTTTTCTGAGGAAGGAAGACAGAAGGGGAGTGGTTGAATTAGAGGCATACTAGTTTAGTAAACTGGGATTTCTAATCTATTTAAGAGCGTCTACAATATTGATTCTGATATTTTCTTCTAGTGATTTAAGATCTAATCTGATCTTGCCTGTCTTTATACATCACTGCATTATGCCAACTACTTTCTTATGCCGACATACAACTAAACTGTGCCATCTCTCTCTCTCCTGCTATCTTCAGAAGCTTTGAATTTTGCTAATAGGTTAGACAATGGATATTTTCTAAGACAGTTTGGATAAGAATGATTCTGAGTCAGGCAGGGGGTTGAACTCTGGAGGTCCCTTCCAGCCCTATTTCTCTTTTGATTCCTTCATTCAGGGATGGCACTTGTGTCCTATTCACAGCACCCTTCTGGAGCAAAGCTGTCATGTGCAGCATTCAGAGGGTTTCTATATCGTTTTGGCAGTTCCGTATACTGTGGGATCTAGTGAGGTCTAGTGAATTAGGCTGTAAAAGGGGCTGAACCTATCTTTGCCTGCAATCAATTTTAATATAATTTGGAAATGTAGTTGGCAATGTACTCTTGAGGGTTATAGCAGCTCATAAGATGAAGGAGTCAACAATTGTTGCAAAAAAGCTAACAGTATATATTGGGATGTATTAGTAGGAGTGCTGCACACAAAGAAATGTTTGGATTCTTCTGCTGTATTCAGCTCTGGTGAAGCCTTCCCTAGAATACCGTGTTCAGTTTTTGCTGTTGTATTTCAAGAAAACATGGAAAAATTGGAAAATGTCCCTTAAAGAGCAACAAAAATTATTAAAAGTCTAAAAGATGTGACCTCGTGAGGAAAGCCTGAAAGAACTGGGATGTTTAGTCTAGCAAAGGGAAGTCTGAGCAGAGATTTGGTAACAGTCTCCAAACACAAAAAAAAGTTGTTATTAAGATGATGGCAAGAACTGTTCTTTTTGCCCACAGGTGACTGGATGAGAATGCCAAGAAATGACACGGCAGCTAGATATTAGAAAGAGCTTCTTAACAATGAAGGTGGTTAAGCTCTGGAACACATCACCTAGATTACAGATTTCCATTGCTGGAAGTTTTTAAATACAGCTGAAGATGTGTTTGTCTAGGATGGCTTAGACAGAGATGGCCCTGTCCTGAGCAGAGAGTTGGACTAGAAACCTACTCTGTTCTCTTTCAAGTCTATTTATCTAGGATTCCACTTCTAGCTTTTTTTTAAAAGTCTGCCTGGATTTCTTCTAAAGCTTCCTTTTGTCAATTTATAAACTGTTATGCCTGTTTACAAAAAACTACTTTCAATGTTGAACATAACTTATGTATAATTTGTAGCTTTCAAAATTATAGAGGTAAAATACAGCAGTGACTTATTGAACTAGTAAGTCTAGAAAAACTGAAGGATTCACAATTTTTGCATTTCTCACCTTTTGGAGATATTTGGCAACAAAGGCTCTGTGTGCATCTAGGTGATCCTTGCAGTCAATTATATCCCTCTCACGCAGCCTTCTTTCATAATCCTAGGAGTATATACAAAGTTTGTTATCTGATATCCCTTCTAGTCTATCATTTCACATAAGGAAATAATAAACGTTGAATTAATAAAAACATAATAGATCAGAACAAACTGATTTGGATGTAAACAGTGACATTTTTAAAGCTTTAGTGGAAATATTTTATTTAGTTGCACAACTTCCAGTAATAAAAAAATCCCTTTAAAATAGCTGGAAATCACAGTCTAAATTACCACAAATAGTTCGAAGAATTCCTTCGCTGTTTCTATTCATAGAGCTGAACTTTGACTTGTTAGTGTAAAATGAAATTCCACTCGAAGTGGAAAAAAATACTGGCTTGCCTATATTGTGAAACTACGACAGAGAGATTTCTATCACTCTGATGATGCACCATGCCTTCCGTGAGGAATCTAATAGAAGGGTGCTCAACCTATTTGGCCCCATGGCCTGGATGAGTGGTGCAGGACCAGTCCACAAGCTGGATCTTGAACATGGGGTCATTCTGGAGGCCTGATTCAGTGCTAGGTTGGTGCACAATATTGGTCTAAGGGTGCAGTCCATTGCACCAACTCCAGCCCCACCAAAAGCTACTGCCAATTCAGCAGCAGCTGTGAAAGGGTTAACGCAGTAGCTCTACCCCTGAACAGTGAACTCTACCCCTACCTCCCTGAAGCCAGCAGGGAGAGAAGCATGGCAGCCATTAGAGCTGTTGTCCATTCTTCCATTTCTCCACTCTGGTGCAGAAAATCAGCTTCCCCATTTAAGACAAGCATCCCAGTTTTGGAGGGCTGATTTTGGGGGGCAATGGTGCATATGGTATGCAAGTATATAGGGTATATTAAAAGTAAAATTCCTTTCCAGCTTATGGTCCTGTAACCTTTTTGATGCCATCTTGGCCTTTAAAGTAATGAGGAACTGATTTAAATAAAATATTACTAATGTTAAACCTATGCAAGAAAGAAACATTTTACCAGAGACCTTAATATAAATAATCTCAATTGATTTTCTACCTGGAAGATTTTTTCACTGATTTCTCTGTCATTTAAAGGCACCTGCTTGTAGTTTCGGAACTCTGCCACCTCTCTGTTTCTGAGCTGCAGAAGTCGAAATCGTTTTGACTTATTAAGTTCCTCGTCTGAAACAAAATTAAATTCTTGCTGCAACTGCTCTAGTCTGAAGAAATCAGGAACATAAGTATCTCCACTAGTGGCAACCTAAACAAAAGAGGCAAATATGAAAAGTTCAATTTAGAAAGAAAAAAAATTCACAATACCATTTTTAAGAAACTGCCCAATTCAATTAATCTGATATACTGTCAAGAGTCTCACTGTAACCAAGCCTAGCATGAATGCAACTAAAACACTTTATATTTGAGAAAAAGATTTTTGATAATTCCTAGCTGGGAAAGAAGATAGTCAACTTTAATTCCTTCATAATTTAAATGTAATATGAAAGATCACAAAAGGCAGCAGCAAATTCTTTTAGAAACAAATTTTACACCAATATTTAAAGAAAAACTATGCTATAGTATACTACTGTTGGCCCAATTTCTTCATGACAAACTCCTGTACATAGCCTTATTGATGTGAGCAGTCCCACTGAAGTTACTTTTCAAAAAGAGCCCAGCACTTACAATTGACTGAAACAACTGACATGAATAAAGTTATTCGCATGTTAACGCTCAGTCCTGCAATGACTTCAGGTTTAAGTGCCAGATTGTAAATGTCTTTCTCCCAGTGACCATGATGATAACCTGCTCTCCAGTGAAGCATAGGGTTCATTGTTTTAAATAACGATTTAATTTTTGTTTTGCTTTTCTAGTCCTTTACCAGTTTTGCATCCAGCTAGAGTGAGAGGGAGGATTTACTGGCAGAAGTTGGCTAGAGGGCATAATTTTTTCACACCCTGTAGCTAACCTACATATATGTCAGCAAAATGTTGTAGAGTAGATCAAGCCACAGAATATGCTGCCCCAGCCAAGACTAGGTCAGAATCCAAAGACAAGAAATGCTCACTGGAGAACAATGCAAGGTGAAATTCTTGATTCAGTGAGTCGTTTTTGAAAGCACCTGGCAGATTTGCTGTTCACATGCCCTTCTTTGAGATGCAGCAAGCACCTTGTGTAACCACGACAGGCATTTTTTTGAATCCTTGTGACTTCTGTCACAATTATTACTACATTTACTTAAATCTAAGACAAGGTTTTGCTCTCAATCAGCATGGGGGGAAGCCCCTCATATTAGATTTGCATATACAATGGGAAGGCAGGCAGGCAGCTGCTGTAGCTCTGACTCTGGCCCTGAGTCCAAGTTAGGGCCAGTCAGACACACAGCAACCACCTGCTCCTTCCTCCAATTCTCCTCTGTAGCTTCTGCTCTCTCCACCCCCTTCCCCCCTTACTCAGGCTCAACTGGGCTCGGGCTCAGACTGGATTTCCTCCAGGGCATGGAGTACATGGAAACTCTGTCCCCTGCCCAGACAATCAGCAGCATCACTACTGCTACATGGCCAGCAGGGGCTGCACTTCCACATGCTGCACTCCAGGAGAGGATAGAGTCTGAGCAGCATCTGACAGTGGGGGGGGGGGATAGGGAAGGGAAGAGGCAGAGACTGTGGGGAGGGGGGGGGAATGAAGTATCTTGATGCATAGTAGTACATTTGCCTTTTTCAAGGCCACAACACATTGGTGACTCATCATCCTATGATTGGTTGCACATCTAGGTCTTTCTGCTCCTCACTTGTTTCAGCTTATGAGACTGTAACTTATAGCAGAAATCCTTTTTGCTAGTCCTTAAACCAGGGGTGGACAA